GTGATGTAAAACATTGAAGTAGGTGGACTTTAAAAAATGAAATATATTTTCTAGATGCCTTTTCAATAATTTTACTTCATTTTTAGTATTACAGCAAATGTTTTATGTTATTGAAGCAATTAAATCCAGGAAAACTTCATGTCTTACCTATACTGTAGAGTGGCATAAAAAAATTAAAAAGAGCTTACTCTTTTACTGTTGGAGTTACACAAGTAATTCTTTGAAATATGGTTCCTACCAGCATATCATAAGACTTATATAATACAGCAGTTATTTTGAAAACAAAAATGCATTCTATGCATTGTGAGAATTCTGTTCCAGTATCCTGGTTAAAAGTTGATTCTAAAATTGTAACAGTTATTTAGGCTTTTACAAAAAAAAAAAAAAAGTCACCTTCAGTAATTCATCCAGCACAATCTGGTTTCATGACAGAATATAAAGCCTCCAACAATAATGAATTAGCAGTAAATATATTAGTGTTACACTCTGATAAAAATGAAAGTCCTATTTTGGCTTCATTAGACATGGAGAAAACTGTATGTTGCAAATTAAGTTTCTGGAACAAGTTATGAACAAAAATGAATTTCCAGTGGAATTTAGCTCTTGAAAAAAATATTACTCTACTCTTTCTACTCTGGAAATTGGAAATAGGATTAATTCCCCTGTAATTAAGATGAGACATGGGTCATGTCTAGGATGTCCCAATCACTTTTAATATTTGCTTTGGCATTTGAATCTTTGGTATGTTTACTAAACAGTATGATAATATTCAGTGTACGTTATATGTGGATCAGAAAGTTAATATCAGTTGGTATTACATATGTATATTTGATATTAATTTTCTGATCCACATCTGTTGGTATTACATATGCATATTTGATGTCTTTTTGAATGATGTTTCAAAAGATACTTACTGCAGCTTGTTGAAATGGTAATACAATAAATTGGAATAAATTAACTAGGAGTAACAGAAGTTAAAAATGTGGAAGCATAACAATGATTAATTACATTAGGAAGGTCCTCTAAAATGGATACGTAAATATTACTATTATTATGTGACCAATATTAATATCATGAATATTGTTGTTTTTAATATGATTACTATTTCTCACTGTATATGTAGACATTGAATTTTTTATATTTAATAAAAACTTTTTGAAACTTGAAAAAAAATGGAATAAATTAAAGATTATTCCAATTGGTAAAAAGGTACCTACTGAAATAGTAAAGTTTTGAGACTTTTTAAGTCTTACAACTGGTTCAGATAACCTGAGAATAATTATTCCTAGAAAAATATTTTCACATACTGTACATATTCATACAGATATGAATATTTGAAATGGTATTTGTAGATGAAAGAGTATATTGCAAGCTGAGTGGAAATACCAATGAGTTTGAGGGGAAAATAGTAATATACAGTAGAGAGTTGTTATTTTAAAATGGCAGGAAAAGTTTTATTTCTTTGGAAAACCTAGGTTGAAACTCACTTAAGCATTAGAAGCATTTTAAAAAAAACTTTGAAAGGTTGCAAAAAGAATATCATTTACTTAAACCAGCCAAATGACAATTGAATTTCTTGGAAAAGGGTTTTATGGATTTTAAATCAGTAGCACAATATCAAAAAACAGTTTAAAATGTTATCAAAAGAAGTTTGGAAAATATTAAATAAATACGGAGCAAGAGAACTAAAGATGAACAGGAGCTTTTAAGAAACATCAATTATGTTTCTTAGAATTAAAAAACTAAGTTTCACTGTTTCTCTACATGTACGTGTGTTTGAAGGAACATTAGATGTTCTAAATTTGTTCACTAAATCATCTGTCTTTTTTTTAAAGATATTGTCATTATAATGAACCAGTTTCTAGGGATGAAGTTGAATTTTAATGGTATAATTGTGGTTGTTTGCCTTTATGAAGAGCTTTGGATATCTTACAATTGTATTCCTTTATTTTTATCAGTAGAGAGACGAAAATGGAGGGTACATTTCAATCAGGTGCAGTCCTATGATTGATATTTATCACTTTAATATTTCTAAGGTAATGATAAATAAGCAGAGAACAAAACAGACATCCTTATGTGGTATCTTTGTTTATTTGAAAATTTGAAGAAAGTGCATCATTGGCCATGATCTTAGCTGTTTATATAACCCAGATTTGAAGCTCTTCTCCAGGATTTGTTTTGTTCAGTACTGCAAATAAAAATGTATGCAGCAAGTTATCAAAAACACTCCCTACATCTAGAAAGATCAGTGCTGCTTCTTTTCTTTTATTGCCGTTATATTCTATTGTATTAATTATAAACCCACTGTTGCCCTTTATGTTTCTCTTTGGAATGCTTTGGTTTGTATATATTATATCTGAAATGCATTCTTTAGCATTCAGCTAATATGGTTGTGAAAAATTTATAGTCAACATTCAACAGACAAAATTGGATTGTAAGACTGTGCTTTATCTGAGTTATTCTATGTACATCAAAGTTATGCATGTTTTTTTCTAGGTTTGTGGTATTGCCTTTGTCTCATTCATTTATTTCATTGTGTTTGTCAATAGTTCTAGAAATTCCTCAAGGACTTTGTAATATTGAGCTGTCAGACCATCTAAAATTTGGTGTTCATTTAGGTATAAAGTTTTTCTTCTTTTAATAGTTTGGAATAAAATTAAAAAGCTTGTTTTCATTTGTTATTATTTGTACTCTGTAAAACTTGCTACATACACTATTTTCAGATATTGAGTTAAGCCAAGCATTTAAAATGATATATATGAATTCAACGTGATGTTCTTGTTCTGAGGCACTTGCAATTGCAGCCGGTTTTGTTGGAACTGTTAGGTTAGCTAATAAATTATGCCAACTTAAAATAAAATGTCAGCTATATTCCATATTGAGACATCTTGAAGATGTGACAATCTTTGATTATGGCAATACATTGTAATAATCTCAATTAATAATAATTGGCTAGTGAATGATACCTAACATGCTCTTATTGCTGATAAAACAGAAATTTTACATATTCTTTTTAAGAGATACTGGTTAAATGTATGCATTTTGTCTTCCTTGGTTTGGTACACTTTTTTTTTATTAAGGATTGTACTTACAATAGTAAAAACTAATGCAAACTAAACTTAAAGAATAGAAAGAAAAAAGAAAAAGTGTAACAAAAAAGAAAAAGAAAAGAAAGTAAGATAAAGAATACAGACACAAACACATGTTATGACTATAAATATTTCTTTGTCCCATATCTCTTTTATATAAGGAATGCATCAACTTTTCAATTCAATGTCAGCATAAATCCATAAAGTTTTACCTGAATTTTGTGAATAAATACATTATTTTAACTTTGGTCAAATAAACCAATATTATATTCTTTCCTTTTCAGTCTTTAAAGTAGCATTTCTAACAGTCTTAATCTTTAATTCATTGAAAGATTTTAATAGAATTTGACTTTTCTTCAATTCTTCTTTATCCCTTGACATAAACTTCTTCAAAGGTTTAACAAGCATCTTTTGTAGATCTAATAAGATAAAATTTTCCAGACCATTCTCTTGGTTTATCGTTTGTATTTCCCCTTTAATTTTTAAAAGTCCAGCCAGTTTCTTTTGTATATCCAATAAAGTATCCTTTTCCAACTTTTTCTCTTGATGTATCATTTATAGTTCTTATAGTGTTTATACTTTCTCTACTTTGTCAGACAACATTTGCTCTATATCTGTCATTTGCTTAGTAACATCATTAAGACATAATCTATCCATACACTAAAAAGATGGGGTATATGTGTCTTTATGTGTATATAGAGTTTTGTTTATTGTTTAGTTGTTTTTGATTTAAAGAACGTTGTGTTAATTATAACTTTAATTAAGGCATATTGTTAGGAAGTTAGAAATTTGATTGTTTTGGAAATAAAATAAAACATGAAGTGCATAACCCAAATATAACCAACTGTTTTTGACTATGTGTATATTTTGTTCTAAATCAAGAAAAACTGAATAGTGTCTCCTGCATAAATTAGTTCAGTAATTCACTCTGAATTGAAACTTTTCCCCCAGGCAACTAGAAAGTCATTTTAGTTTCCCAGTGACTCTTATGATTTTAACATACTTTGCCTACAAGTATGAAAGATCATGTTCATTATCAAAGGGGTTAGAAGCTTCTTTTCTAATAGAATATGCAATTGACACTATTTTAAATTGTGTCACCAGAGCCAGAATATCTTTTTTGTCTGTAGAATTAGAATATTTTAATATCTAATTATGATATATTGTTTTATCTTCCAAACTGGACTGAAATAAGTAAAAGCAAAACAGTTAGTAGGAGAAAGCTCAAATATTTAAGAGATTAAAGTGAGCTGTTTTCCAATATTGGCATGCTGTACAGCAGAAAGACCAATAACATATTTTTGTGGAAGTCACTTTTTAAAATTCTTACTTTAGCTCTACTTAATCCTGTGCAATCCCATTCTCCTTGTTGCCTGAAGAAACTATGAAACATATTTTCTTTTTTTTTCAGTTGAAATTGTTTTTATGAAACTAAAAAAAGGCATATACTTAGTAAGATAACCCACCTTATGTTCCCCTCATGCAAAATCAGGATCAAGGTGACAATTTTACCAGACTCATCTAATGTCTAAGAATTTTAATTTCAATTTTTTTCTCACTATATATTGTATTCACCATTTCACAAATATGGCTACTATGGCTCTAATTACTNTTTTCAGGCTGTTTGGGGGGCCTTTTTCAAGCTGTTGTGGGGGGCATTTTCAGGCTGTTGTGGGGGGCATTTTCAGGCTGTTTTGGGGGCCTTTTTCAGGCTGTTTTTGCAGCCGTTTTCAGGCTGTTTGGGGGGCGTTTTCAAGCCATTTTGGGGGGTGTTTTCAGGCTCTTTGGGGGCTGTTTTCAGGATGTTTTTCAGGCTGCTTTTCGGGCTGTTTTCAGGGCCATTTTCAGACTGTTTTTTGGGCCGTTTTCAGGCTTTCCCTTAAATGCGGAAATTTTCATTCCTTCTCTCAGTGGAGTTACGGCTTCACAACGACCGCTTGAAGCGTCACTGCGCTGGCTTGATCGAGGCGCTGAACAAGGAGCGGAGCAGCTTCAATAAGATCCGAGAAGACCACAACGCGGTCAGCAGATCCTTCCGGACCCGGATCCAAGACATGGAGAGAGTCTTCCAGATGGAAAGCCGGGCAGAAAAGTAAGCCTGATGGTTGGGAAGAAGGGGACGATGCCAGCCACAATCTCACAATAGCATTGGGCAGAGCATTGGATATGGTGCCATCAGAATGTAGAAGGGAACCTGATTTAAACCCAGGGGAAATTCATGATACCGATAGAAGAGAACGTTTGTAACTCTGTGTTGAATATTTGGGATCCTTTGTGTTCCCTGATGGTTGGTGGTTTTCTTGCAGACGTTTCATAACCCAACTAAGTAGCGTCATCAGTGCTAGAAGGAAGGCAGGGAGGAGGAGGAGGAGGAAGACTGTGGGGTCCTTGGTGCTCCCTGAGCTTGCTTGTTTTCTTGCAGACTTTTCACAACCCAACTAGGTAACATCATCAGTACTAGAAGAGAGTGGGATATGCAACGTGGAGGAGGAGGAGGACTGTGGGGTCCTTGGTGCTCTCCTAAGCTAGGTGGCTTTTTTGCAGACATTTCATAACCCAACTATGTAACATCATCAATGCTCCCTGAGTGGTGGTTTTCTTGCAGATGTTTCATGACCCAAACTAGGTTGTTAGTATTAAAGGGGAGTTGGGTTTTCAGGGAGGAGGAAGATAACTGTGGGATCCTTGGTGCTCTCGGAGCTTGATGGTTTTCTTCCAGACATCTCATGAACCAACTGGGTAACGTCATCAGTAATAGAAAGGAGTGAGGTTTGCAAGGAGAAGGAGGGGGAGTCCTTGGTGCTCTCTGTAAGCTTGGTGGTTTTCTTGCAGGCATTTCATGACCCAACTAGGTAACGTCATCAGTGCTAGAAGGGAATGGGGGTGTGCGGAGTGGAGGAAGAGGAGGAGGACTGTGGGGTCCTTGGCGCTCTCTAAGCTAGGTGGCTTTTGGCAGACATTTCATAACCCAACTACGTAACATCATCAGTGCACTCATGATCAATTCTCCTTGGTCATTACCCAGAACTGATGATGTCACCAAGTGTTATCTTTACAATGCACAATCCATCCTCGTAGGGTAGCCTCTCTCTGGGCGGTGTGCAGATCACTTAACTATCCCTTTTATCAATGAATGTCCAATCGGGTGCTTGGATATTGTTTGGGTAAATAGAACCTCAGTTTCCAGCTCTGCATTCCGATGGTTGACCTTGGGCTGGTGGGTGCGTCTCACCTGGCTTGGTTCCCGTCCCTCCCCTAATCCCTCCCTACTGTCCAATCCTCCTCCCTTTCCTAATGTTGTTAGCTGTTGGCTGGCATCGCTCTACTAGCAGAATGGCAGCTCCCTCATTAGCTCCGCCTTCGAAGGGTATTTCAAAGGGACGTCTTGCTGTCCACTCTTTCCACTCCATAGGGTGATGGCCCTCAGCCGCAACCTCCACACGGAGTTGCTGAACCACGTGGAAGTACTCCAGGTCTCCATGCGGAGTTACAGACAGTATCTGGAGGAAGCCTTGGGCAAGCTGCGAGATTCGAACACGGACTTCCTGAAAGCCTGCAGGTACCCAGAACACAGGGCAGCGTTTCCCGTTTGTTCTCCCTGTCAGGAAATTTCTCCTTCGTTCTGGGTCGGTTCTGTTCCGGCCCAGCCTTAGCAGAAGCAAGAAACAGACTCATTGTCGCAAAAAAAAACCCCCTCTTTATTTACCTCTTGTGAATTAATTGCATTCACCCACCGAAACATCCAGGCAATAGTCCTTCATTAACTGCAGCAACAGACCTTATCAGTTCCTTGCGATAGTTGCCAGGCCGTGAGCTCCCGGCCGAAAGGCTGCAAATTAAGTTCTGCCAAGCAGTCTTTGTGGCATGAAACACAGTGAGCAAACTCTTCAGAAATACGAACTGTTGTCTCCTACGACGGTCGCTCCCCTTTCTTTCTATTTATTCCCCAACCAGGCCATTCAGCGTCCACATGTGCTTTGCTTCCCGAGTCGATTCCTTGTCCTCCGTTGTTCCCCTCTCCTAACTGCTTTGCGCGTACGTTCATCTGGAACAGGCCCCAGCTGTTCTTCCTCCTCACTCATCCCAGCCTCCAAAGGCAGCTGCCTCTCCGGCAGCTGATCCATCGGAGCCTCCAGCACTGGCCCACGTTCCTCCCCAACCCCCTCATCGTCCGAGTCTGCCGCCAGCTCCACCGGCCGCTGGCAGGCTGCAACAGGTTCCCTCCTGAATGACCTGCCAGGAAATTCGGACCCGTCCTTGTTGTTTTCAGACTCTTCGCAGACGGTGGGAACTTTTCGCCCGAAGAGCTCGAGATCTTCATGAAGCATCTGCAGAAGGAGAACTCGCGCATCGAGTTTGTGGAAGGCTTGATCATGATTGATATGGAGAAAGCAGAGACCGGCTACCTGGAGCAGGTCGGCCACGGAGGGTCTCCTCCAAACAACCCAAGAGTTGGGGTTCAGGAAAGAGCGTGGGAAGGGAGTGACACGATCGGCTCCATCGGGGGGGGGGGGGTAAATAGAATCATCCTTCTTGGTGATGTGGTCCCTTTCCCTCCCGTTCCCCAACCAGGCTTCAGAAATTATCAGCAAGTTTGAGAACAGGTTTCGTTACCTGGCTATGGATCGAGTCTTCTTGGAGAGAATCCAGCGATTTCTGACCAATATTCAAGTGAAAATCAAGACAGAGGTACCAAGAGAAAGAAAGCCCACTCCCTTTCCTCCATCCCTTCCTTTTCTCCTCTCTCCCTTTTCTCTATCTCACCTTCCTTCCTTCCTTTTCTCCTTTCTCCTTTCTCCTTTCACTTTGTTTCACTATCCTCCCTCTTCCGCTTCGCCCCCTTTTCTCTATCTCTGACCTCCCTTCCCTTCTTTTCCTTTTTTCATTTCTTCCTTCTCTCTTTTCTCTATCTCACCTTCCTTCCTTCCTTTTCTCATTTCTCCTCTCTCTCTTTTTTCTCTCACCTTCCTTCCTTTTCTCATTTCTCCTCTCCCTTTTCTCTCTCACCTTCCTCCCTTTTCTCATTTCTCCTCTCTCCTTTTGCTCTGTTTCACTATCCTCCCTCTTCCCCTTCCCTCCCTTTTCTCTATCTCTGACTTCCCTTCCCTTCTTTTCCTTCCTTTTCTCATTTCTCCTCTCTCCCTTTTCTCTATCTCCCTTTCCTTCTTCTTCCTTCCTTTTCTCATTTCTCCCCTCTCCCTTTTCTCTATCTCACCTTCCTGCCTGCCTTCTCTCTTCCCTCCCTCGCTTCTCTTGATCTCACTCTTCCTCTCTCCCTTGCCCTCCTTTTCTCTATCCTCCCTCCCTTCTTCCCTGTGGTGGAATCTCCAGCTAGACTGGAGGGAGCCCTTAAATGGGGGCTGCAGGCAATATGCAGGCCAGGCCAGGCCTCTCCCAGAATCCCCAAAGCCTTATCTGACCCTTCTCAAGGAGATGCTGTCTCTCCGTCAAGACTTTTAACTCACAATAAACCTTCTGCTATTACTGAGCCGAGGTGGCGCAGTGGTTAAATGCAGCACTGCAGGCTACTGCTAGATCAGCAGTTCAGCGGTTCAAATCTCACCGGCTCAGGGTT